AAGAAAAACTGACTGGCCTTAATAAACAAAAAGTTTATTATGTTAAAGATTTGTATGCAGGTTTATACTTCTCGAATCTGGAGTCTATTAAGTGAAATGCCTCTACACTCAACCTAGAACAAATTAGTTCATTGTATAAGAAATAAAATTTTACTGTATTTTTCTACAAAGTAAAGACCAAGCCCCAAATATGTTATCCCAAAATGCACATTCTTTCCTTTATCTTGGGCCCAGTGAACAAGCCAAAGTCATACTCCATGCCATCGTGGAATAACTGCCCATGAGAAAAGGTGGCAACTTGTTTTCAAGTAACGTTGAAGTCATTTCGAAAACTGTAACTGTCATCAAGACAATCCTTTATGAAATCCAGCTTAGAAATAAACATTTCAAAAAAGAAACAGTCACACTTCTCATTATACTGGACCATCCGAAGCAAAGGATGGAGACTGAGGCATCTACAATCTGCATGCTTGTCAAAGCTGACTTAAAAAAACAGACTTCAGGCTAGCTGGGCCTGTCAGAGCAGCCTTTTTTTTCCTCATCAGGAGGAACACATATCTTCAGTCATTAGTACACTCCCTCCCCTCCCTCTCTCTCTCACTGTCACTTGAGTGTGGTCTCCTCCTATCGGAGGCATCTTTGGATACCCAAACACAAACCATGAACAGCCATTCTTAACTCTCAGCTTGGTGACTCACCCCCAGAACCTAAGGACAGTTGGAAAGAAAGGAGCTAATTATCAACCTGCTCCTTTCAGTGAGGTCTGTAAAGATCTACAGGTATGATCAGGCTTCTATAGTAGAGCTAGCTCAAGCTTGGGAAGGCTTTTTGTCCCCGTCAAAAGAATAGTTTAATCTATTAATAATGTCAGAAATTAATTTGGGAAAATTATAAAGTGTAGATTTGGACATCAAGGAAACACTTTTATTAGCAATTCAGAATAAAACTAAAATCTGGTAAAAACTGCAAATGGACTGTTAGAGACGTAGACTTCATCATCCTCAGAGCCACAAACCTGAAAGACTTTCAATCCCAGGGATTTAAATTTTTCTCAGATTTTGTTTTGATGGTATTGTACATAGTTTCTTAGTAAGTATGTGATTTCAACTGCATTTTTCTTACAGACACGTTCTCTGAATAGTCCATATGGATGGTCCATCACATCTCATGTGAAATCTGTAGACTTTTGTAGACTTTGACAATTTATTTTTGAAATAGAGACTCATATAACCCAAAGAAGGCCATGCCTTCTTACTTTGTAGCCAACACTGGTCTTGAACAACCCCAATCTTACTGCATCTACCTTCCCAGTGCTACATTGCAGGCACGCATCCTCAGACCTGGCTCTAGTCATCATCTAACCAAACACACACAATCCATTGCCACCTAGCTATAGGATAAGGATGAGGACGCTGCCTCATTCCAAGCCCTAATGCTATTACAAATACTTGATTTGGGATCATGCCGGTTCCTTGCTATCACAATTTCACCTCCTGGGATGCCATAAAAATGCCAGCTAAGGGGATAGAGGACTCAGTGGTTAAGAGCACTTGTTGTTCTTGCATAGGACCTTGGCTCAGCTCCCAATACCCACATCCTGGCTCACAACCATCTATAACTCCAACTTCAGGGGACCTGACACCCTCTTCTGACCTCCGTAGGCATCAGACATGCATGCGATGCACTTGCATATTCAGGTTAAATGTTCATATACATAAATTCAAAAGTGTTTAATGCAAACTAAAAGGTTTCTGCAAAGGCATTGCTAAATATTGACTTGTTGGCTTTATTGATAGCACAGAAAACATTACAATACCATCAATAAATTCAAATGCTCACAGACTATAATGGTAAGGTAGCCAACAAGTTAAAATTCTCTTCCAAAATACTAGGGCAACATAGATCTATGTTGAGCGTTATCACTGACAAAATACAAAGTGGGATTGTCAGATGGAGGCTTGTTTATTGATTGATTGGTTTTTTTGGAGACAAGGTTTCTCTGTGCAGCCCTGGCTGTCCTGAAACTCTATCTGTAGACTAGGGTGGCCTCAAACTCAGATCTGTCTGTCTCTGCCTTCTGGGTGCTGGGATTAAAGGTGTGTGCCACTACCACTATCGAAATACTTAGATTATCTTCATCCCTTTCTTTAGCTTTAGGGTGGGGCAAGGCAAGACACATCAAGCTTACAGATATATTCTAAGAGTTTCGTTATATTTATGTGTTCAACTCAAGATTTAGGGTAATTGCAGAGTTTCCAGGAGAGGAAAAAAGTCTCAAAGATTAAATGGATAATCTACAGTTTAGAGATTACTCGGGTCCCAAAGAACCAGGAAAATTCTCACCCAAGATTTATGTAGACTTTCTCTAAATGTTCTGTTCTGATTGAGTGCAGGTGCTTACAAAGGGCCCCCAAAGAACACTGGGGCTGCAGCTGGAGTTACAGGCATCTGTGAGCTTCCTGATGTGGGTGCTGGAAACTAAACCCAGGTCCTCTAGAAGAAGCCAGGGACTGTGCTATTTCTCCAGCGCCCAGAATGTCCTAAGGACATACACCACACTTGACAATTTCTCATTTGCCTAACAGCAGCTACTCCAAGAACACAGAAGTTGTAGTGATAGATGTAAAAAGAATCTAACTCAGAATTCCAGAAGAAATAACTGCCATATGTGACTCATAAGCAATGATTCAGAACTACAAAAATTCCATTTTGAGAAAAACCAACATGTTTGACAACACTGAATATTCCTGTAAGTCATCACAACTATAAAAGTGTTTATAGGGCAAACACAAATTGAGGAAAATATCTGCAATATGAACAGATATATGCCAAGAACCTGAAAGAGGCTTTTATGAGTAGAAAAACACCAATATCCCAAGAAGAAAATCTGATGCTACACTGAATTAGAAAAATAAAATAAAATTAGCCGGGTGTAGTGGCACACACCCTTAATCCCAGCATTCCCGAGTCTAGGGCAAGCAGATCTCTGAGTTCAAGGCCTGCTTGGTCTACAGAACAAATTCCAAGACAACCAGAACTATACAGAGAAATCCTATGTAAAGAAATAAGAAAAGAAACTGGGAACATAGGTGGGGTGCTTGATAACATTTGCGGTCACAAAAATGGAAAGTTAAATACTGAGATAGCACTGTTCAACTATAAAGCTGATAATACTTCCTTTTAAGGATAATTACCTGTGGTAATATGTAACACAAGAGTTCAGAACTGGTCAGCTTAGTTTGACTGAATAGTTTTGGAAACCAACCATCAGTATTTTTAAAAGAAACTTTGAGTCACCAATTGTGATTTCCAAGGACAGTATCCTAAAGAAACATAGCATACATACAAAATTTTCAAGAGATAAATGTTGCAATTTTATATCTAATAACAGTAACAGCAAATGAAAAGTTCAGCTTGTAAGACAAGGTTAAGTAAATTGATACATCTATAGAATATACTGTAACAATAAACTGAGATGTTGAAGACTTAATACAGTGAAGAAATTTTCATACTATTTTACAAAGGGAAAAAAAAAGATGGTGGAATTGACTCACTTTTCTGAATGTACCAAATTGTACACCTCAGCCATTCATTCCTTTTGAAGTCCGTGCAAACGGGGTCACTAAGTGTCATGCTTCTTTACATGCTTAATTCTAGTCACTCAAACTTAGCTTCTAAAAATTCTACACAAAATTTATCCAGAATTTCACAATCCTATTCAACACTACAAAAATTGTCCTTGGATTCCTAACAGTTAATTAAAAGGTACAGACCTCTCCCAAACACTATTTCACACACACACACACACACACACAAATCTAGTTTTAAAAGGAACAGGTGGGGGGGCAGACACCCGTGATAATCCAGGTGTTTGGTATATGCAAAACTCTTAGCTCCATCCACAGCACAAGGTGGGGGTGGCAGGTGGGGAAAATCACAACTTACATTTTCTAAATTATTTTAGACTAAATTCTATTTTTAAAAAAGAGTAAGAATAGGGGTTTCTTTTTTTTTCTTGCATAACTTTTCTTATGGAATAGACTCCTTGAGAAATGAGTCTGTAAACAATGAGTTTAATCAAATACACCCACACAACAGACTGTAGATTTTCCTGAAGGAACTGCTGCAGAGAACGGGAGATGATGAATTATTTAAATTGATAACCTATTGGTAAAACATTCCTTGTGGAGGTCATAGGTTCAGGGGAGCACGACCCCGCCTCTCTTTTGCTGTCCTCCTTCCAAGTTGTCTCCTGATCCCCGGAATCCACTCCCACCACCTCCCCCACAGCGCTGTGATTTGATACCATGATTGAACTCCAATCACCTGGCAAGACATGAAAGCTCTCTGTCCTCCTGTTTTGCCTAAGACTCTGCTTTTAGACAAACAAAACTCACTGGGTTTCCTTTCCTAGAACACGGACGATTTAAAAACAGTATTTTGCAGAGTGTGTACCGCTGTGCAAGCTAAGTCTAAAAAAAATTAATTTCGTCACTATTAACAAGTCCAAAGTGAACAAATGGCCCTAGAAGAGGAGGGCAAAGACCTCACGTAGTTCTAGCTAAGTCCATGGTTGAGTAGTCAATAAGGTGACCATAAAGGAGGGTTTTTCCATAGAGCTTGTAAATACCCGCGGGCTGCAGGGAGTAATCCCGCATAGGGACCTGGGGAACTGCAGTAATTCCCTTTCTCCCATATTTTCTGCCCTGGCTGCTAAAGCTGGGAATGGGCCCCGGCAAGACGCCCAGCCGGAAGCCTGCGGCTGCCAGGCCCTGAGCCGGGGTCCGGCGCCTGGTGGGTGGCTTTCGGCCAAGGTGGCAAACTTGACAGTTCGCCGGATCTAGTAAACCCACCACCACCTCGGTCACTTTCAAGGTGACAGCAACCGCAACCCGCTGTCCACGGGGCCCCACGTGAGCCCAGCCTTCCCACTCACTCCTGCAACTTTGAAACCCCCGGGACACCCGCCCACTCCCTCCCGCAAAAGCCAGTCCGGTCACCGTGAGCGAGTTGCCGTCGCCGCGCCTTCGCTCCACGTTCTCCCGAGGTCCCCACCGCGGCCGGGATGGGCGGCGGAATGGGATCCACTCCGCACTTGCCCGCAGAGCCTGGGAGGCAGCCCGGAGCCCTCCCGGGAGCCACCGCTTGTGGGCTCCCTTCTGCACCCTGGGCTGACCCAGCCTGGGAGGCGTAGACACCTGGGGCTCGCAGCTCGACCCGGACCCGCGCCAGCACCCCCGGCGGCGGCCAGGCGGGAACCGGGAACCCGGGAGCCCCAGCCTCCCCGCCCTGGGCCACCAGGGGGAGGAGCGAAGGCGGGGAGTCCGGAGCTGGGGCAGCCTCGCCCCTCGCCCGCGGCGGCTCCTGGAGCCCAGACAAAGGCCAGGTGGGGGCCCAGGGGGCGGCGCCCTAAGAAACTAACCTGAGAGACGTGCCGGGGTTCCTTGGGGCACAAAGACTCCCACGAAGCTCAGCTACGATCGCCCGCCGGGTCCGGCTCCCAGGCTAAACGTCTGCACGCCGGAAGCCCCGGGCGGGCGTAGGTCCTGGACCGCGCTGCACCTGTTGCCACGTGCGTCGCGATGCGGGTGGCTGCTGACTGCGCACCTGGCTGCACCGCGCGTCCCCAGACCACTCACGTCCCCGTCCCCGAGGGCGAGCCAAGCTCTGTGGTGCCCAGTTTGGGGGGGCCCAGGACCGGACAGGCTAGCCAGGGAGAGGCTCGGTTCCTCCTAGATCCCCCCCACGCAGCCTGAATTCCCTGTCCTTTTGCTTCTGCCTTGGGGTTGGGAGGTGGGAAAGTGGCCGAATTATCAGCTCAGGGGCTTGTAAGGAACCAGCACTGGTTGCCCTCGGCGACTCCCACCTGGGCTCTATATTGTCTCCAGACTTCCGAGCAGATTAGCGAGCACCTATTAAACATTAGAGAAACGAGCACTCCAGCTGTGAGATGTTCAGATAAAAAGTGGAAAGGTTGTGGGACTCAGAAGAAGAGAAGTTTAGATCAGACCACTTTAAAGACAAAGTCCTTGTTCTTGGACGAGCTGAGGTAATTCCAGCCTCAACTAGACATATTTTAATACAAACTTTTCCTAAAGATCGGTAGTCCGTTCGCCTGTGAGAGATTAAAAAAAAAAAAAATCTGAACCACTAAATGTCAGATAATCAGAGCTCTAAATTTAATATATGCATGTTCGTATGCATATATAAAACTACCTGGCATGGGACGGGGCGGGGGGGGGGGGAGTACTGGGGGTGGGGGAGAGCACTTCAGAAGTTGCCTATGCTGTGAATGCTGGGTGAACTAAAAGCATTGCTGTTTATAGCTTTAAGTGCTTTCACATGGACAATGATCCATTCTTTGCTCACAACTAGACCCTGGTGTAAATAGGTTAGATTATTATCTCTATTATTCAAGTGAGGACAGTGAAGTCAGAAAAGCCAAGTGACTTGCACGCGGTCACACTATGGTGGAGGACAAGGCAGGCCCAACTCTCCCCGCGCCCCCCACCACACATCTCTTTTTTTTTTTTCTCCATGTCCCAATAGATAATGTCTCTTACTTATCTTAGAAATCCCTGCTGTAACATGATCTCCGTCTGACAGGGAAATCATGTGACTAATTTTAAAGTGATACAGCATTAAACACCATTGGATAACTCTTCCTTATGCAAAAGGCACATGACAAAACAAAACCAAAAAAGCCACGGATGTTTTTCTGACAAGTCATGAGATAATTATGCTAATTGGCAACATGCCTCCTCCCCAAGGAGAATACTCCTTGTGTTAAACATATTATTTAAACTTTTATGACCCGCATGTGACCCGGATGATTTGGCCCAACGTTCTCCACACACACCCCCACACTCCCACACTGATTCCATTCTATTGTGTGATTTAGTTCTATCTATAAATATAGAACCACTTTTACTTCTTATTTCTACAAGACAAATTAAGAAAACAAAAAACACTGAAGTAATTAGAGATGTTTTTGTGGGTGCGGAAATCAGAAACTTAGCTTCTAATTGAATTCGCATAAAAACAGAAGTGATCTAGGGACATCATCAGAGACTCCGTCCAGCCAAATAGTCATGAAATAAGGCCTACTGGCTTTTCTGTTCCTCTTAGCTCTGGGCACGTAGCCATGTTCCTGACCTCTGAACTCTAATGCTGACCTGCCACAGAGCCAGGGAATGATATTAAGGATCAGATAACAACTCAGCATAACTTTGTGGTCCTGTGTTCTAAAGAAAAGTTAGCATGTTTTTCCCCCCTCTGGGAGGAAAAATGAAAGTTAAAGACTGTATTTAAAAGTCTCTGTTTCATTTGGCAAACTGTCAAAGATTAGAACATTTGATAGTCACCGGCTGTTAGTGTATGTGAAGATAGGCAGTCACAATGCTGATGTGAATGTAACTTATAGTGACCTCTATAGAGGGCAATTCAAAATACTAACAGATTACAGATGCACAGATTTTTTTTTTTATTAAAAAGTCCACACATGAGAGTTTATCTTATATTACACCCAACAAATTGCGTGTGTCTAAAACCTTGTTTATTTCAATCCTGTGTCTAGTAATAATAGAGTGAAAAACAATATGCTGATTAATAAACTCATGATTAAGGGTTCATTAGTTAAAAACTATGGCATAGCCATTAAACAAATCCTATGAAGACGTGAAAAAGAGCTAGGTGGTGGTGGTGGTGCACTCCTTTAATCCCAGCATTTAGGAGGCAGAGGCAGGAGATCTCTGAGTTTGGGTCTAGCCTAGTCTACAGAGAGTTCCAGGATGGCCAGGGATATACAAAGAAACTCTGTTTTGAAACCTGCCACTCACCTCCCCCAAAAAAGAGAATGAGAAGGATCTTTGTACAATTATGAAATAATCTCCTAAAATATATCATGTGCATAATTTTAAATGCAAAATTGTCTAATAGTATGCTAACATTCCTATTAAGCAGATAAAACCCATATACTTACATTGCATGCATATTTTTGTTCATATAAACAAAATAATATATAAAAATACACTTCCAAAATAAACTCCCCAAATAAACTTCCAGAAACTTACATGACTTATGATATCTTGAAAGTATGTTGGGGAGTCCAGATGCTAGAGGGTAAATTTTGAAGAGAAAGATTTTACTTAATATAATTTCACACATTTTACATTTTGATCCATGTTAATAATAGTAGACATTTTAAAGATGTTTCCCCACTTGAGATCTGCTATAAAGAAGATAAACAAGATAAATGATCACATTTCCAGTCTTTTAGTAATGGGGAAGCTGAAATGTTCAGTCCTTACTGTTCAACCTTGCTTCTCCTCTAGTTCATTTATATATAAAGACCTCTACACTTGAAGTCTAGCAAATGTGCTGTGGGAGTTGTTGTAAATTCCTTTTACTCTCATGGACATCTCTCAGGGTAAAGCTTGAGCCAGCTTTTCCAGGGTCACATTAAATCAGAAAAGGGAAAAGATCCCAGGCTTAATTCTCAGGGGGGAAACTCCAGCAGTTGAGCTGAGCAGTGAGGAAGCAATACCATGGGAATCCCTTGGCGTCGTTTTTGCTTTGTTCCAAGTCAGATCCTTTTGTTGCTGTTGTTGTTACTCTCTTAAACTTCCACCACGGGTTCACCGAGCTGGTATTTGAACAACTCTAAAAGACAAAGAGAGCAAATTCTTAAAATTGACCATTGAGAAGGATACATATTTTTGTCATAAAGCAGTAAACAGAATGTTGAGCGACAGATTAAGATATCCAAGTGTCCCAACCAGTTCATAATTGCCATTTTCAAAAGGTGTTACTTAAAGGAAGCAAAATTCTGTCCAACACTGAAGTCCAAGAAAAAAACAAAACAAAAAAAACAGTCTTTCATGTTTCAGATAAAGAGTACTGAATGAGGGATGGCCAGGGAGAAAAAGATAAAATATTATGACCCAATGGTAGAGCATTTACCTAGCAAATATGAGGCCCTAGGTCCAGAGTTTGAGCCCCAGGACACACACACAGACAATGATAGTTTCCCAGTCAGGAGTCAGGCTAATTTCAACCCAGCCTTAGAGCAGCATTAGACCATCAGAGGTTGGCTATAAATAGATATGAAGAGGGACAGCAGCTCCTTCACGTATACTCCAGAAGTTCTGACATGATCATTGTAGAATTATAACATCACCACCAATCTCTTGCCTGAAAGGTAAACAGTGGCTTTCTACAACATTCCACAAACTTGCCAGGCAGCCATTTCATTGCAGCTGAAGAAATGTTAGAAGTTGTAGTAACTGCTTAAAAAAAAACCAACCAAACAAACAAACAAAAAAAAAAAAAAACCAAGTATTTCGGACTTTGTGATAGTGTTGGTGATCTAGAGTAAGTGTACATTACAAATGTCTAATTCCTGCGTCTCGAGATAGCAAGCTATATGGTCAGATACACAAACTGCCCAATTGTAGCAATTGCTTCATGGTGAGAACATGAGAGCTTGAAAATTGAAATGTCCTGACTGACTGACCAACAATTCTTGGGTTTCTGCTGACCTATTCCTACCAGACTTGCAAATTCAGCTGGATTCGCTCCTGCCACATTCTAGAAGGGTGCCTATCAGAGTCATTTTCTTGCTAAAGTCTGCCAGTTTGTAAATGAAAGATCTCGAGGGAGGAGTTTTCATCAGCAACACTGAAGGAATGTGTTTCCTTTTTGTCAAAACTGTCGGAGACCTAACATCTCAGAGTCTTTTTCATCTCCTCCAACCAATGGTTGCCATTTATAGACTCTGTAGAAGGAAATGTTCCTCTAACATGATGCCAGATTTTTATTTTAGTTCACACACAAACAAGCTGTTCCATAATTCTGCTGTGGACCTCATCATATTAGGAAGAAATTAAGAAAAATATACCACTACCAGTTGGTTATGCAAACTCGTTGAAAGTGTTTACTTTGTGTGCTTGAAATGTCATGACTAAGAAAACGCTGCTCTGTATAATCCACTCCTGACAATGAGTCATAACTGCGTCACCCTGGAGCTTGTTCAGGCTTCCCTACAACCAGGTGGAGTGTTCCCCTAAAAAGGGGATTTGTTTTCTGTTTCACTGTACTTTCTGCTTTATGACAAATATTAATAGGTAATCTAT